ACAGTGGATAAAAAGGCTTTGTTTTGCTTGCAACGTTTGATATTCAGCTGTTAACCCCAGCGAACAATGCTTTTATTCTGCGCAATGTCAAACAGTTGAACAAATGATGACATGCGAAGGCAGTTTCTGTCGCTGCCCCAATGGATTGGTAATGTTTATTTTGGCCAAAATTCACCATAAGCATCTTTAACCTTTAGAATTTTAGGTCTTTTCCGGATCACAATGTTCCCAATCATGTCCGATTGGCTATATAGCAAATAGTAAAGGCATTTGTACTCGGGGTTAGTTTTCCTTTACCTAAATAATTTAATCACTTTAACGCTCAAATATGTTCAGGTTGCCAAGGAAATCAGATTGAAGTAGGAGGAGAATGTCTGAATCAGGCCGTTGCCGGTCAACCCTGCCGAGTTCAAGCCCAATGTATTGGAGGAACAACTTGTCTCAGGGGACGATGTGTTTGCCCACAAGCGATGATTTTTAATGGAAGCGTTTGTGTCTATAGTAAGTAACTGTTATTTTTGTATGCAGAGACTCTGAATTACCATTTCTTCTCCTTTTCTCGAAATTTTGGAACTGTTATGGGACCAGGCTATCAAACCAATGTGCAAAAAGGCTAAACTTGTACTCAATAGTGCTTCCATTACAGGCACTACCGGTGCACCTTCATTCGGTTAAACTCGATGCTGACAGTATCCGCATAAATTGGATCTGATAGTATGGAAGGAAAATCATATTTGTATAAGGAATGTTTGCTCAAATAGCGATAACTTTCTCCGAATATTCTAGAAACAGTAAGGAATCCTCAAGAGTGTTACTCGTCGTATTCTAATGTACCTCAATCCTACGGTTTCTTATACCTGCACCAAAACTCTTCTCACAAATTCAACTCTCTTTTGCTTTTCAATTTATTTCTGATAATCCATTTTAAATAGCAATGTTCCTAACAAATGCTCAGAACATTTCTTGATGTAATGAAATAAAACTGATGTTTATAGTTGGGATTTGGACTTATAGGGTTTTGTGATTTGTAAACTTTGTATTATTTACATTATATTGCGTCGTTGTTCAAACGTCCTCTAAAATATTATGCTTTAAAAAAATAGCTTTAGCCTAACTTTTCCATTTTTTTTTTTGGTTTAACTCCCGCTAATCTCGTATGCTAAGGGAACTTGCTTATGAAATCTCCCCTACTCCCCTCCCTCCTCTCTCCTTCTCCTTCTTC